ATATAAAAACTGTCTGTTTATGTAGTGCAGTCAAACGCAGCTATAGTTATAAATTTTGAAATGAAATTAGTTTCTGGTGGTTTTGATCCAGTTCTCTCAGAGGTTTTCCTGCCTAATCAGTGCACCGCCTGCGTTTTTCTGTCATCAGACATTTTGTCTAATTAAAAACTTTATTGCTGTTGCTCGATCTTCTAAAGCTCTTTTTATGTCCCGATCTCATCTCCATATTTCAGCTCGACGTTCAGGTTTATCTTACTTGCAGATGCAAAACATAAAACTTATCAAAATGGAGGGAAATGTGTTCAGAGCACTGAAGCAAAACAACAAAACCTCCCGAAGGAGCTCATAAAAACATCACAGCAGGAGAAAAATGAGTTTAAAGAGCAGCTTGTGACTGAATGGAGCGATAAAAAAACAAATGGTTTCTGAACAAAATAACTGAGTTTTAGAGAATAAATTATAGGAAAGTGATGAATGAGCAGAAACTGGACCTTTTATTTCACAGTTAAAGCGTGTCTGCCCTTCCTTCAGGCGCTGTTAGCCGTGCTGAAGGAGAGCCACCGCACTCGCACCGTGTTCCGGAAGGTGGGCGGCTTCGTGTACGTCACCTCCCTCCTGGTGGCCATGGAGCGCTCGCTGTGCCAGCCCCCGCAGCACGGCTGGGAGCGGGTCAACCAGAACCAGGTCTTTGAGCTGCTGCACACGGTTTTCTGCACGCTGACGGCCGCCATGCGCTACGAGCCGGCCAACTCGCACTTCTTCCGCACCGAGATCCAGTATGAGAAGCTGGCTGATGCTGTGAGGTACCTGAGACACTGTTCTTAAGTCTGGAACTATCAGACGGCTAGCTAAAAGTAACAAACATCTGGTTGAAGGTAGCAGAAGGCTAGCTAAAAGTAATGAAAACCTGGCTAAAGGCAACAGAAGCCTAGCTAAAAGTAATGAAAACCTGGCTAAAGATAGCAGAAGGCTAGCTAAAAGTAATGAAAACCTGGCTAAAGATAGCAGAAGGCTAGCTAAAAGTAATGAAAACCTGGCTAAAAGAAGCATGAAGCTAGCTAAAAGTAACAAATACCTGGCTAAAGGCAACAGAAGCCTAGCTAAAAGTAACAAACGTCAGGCTAAAGTTTGCAGAATGCTAGCTAAAAGTCTCAAATGCCTGGCTAAAGGTAGAAGAAGACTAGCGGAAAGTAACCAAAACCTGGCTAAAAGAAGCATAAAGCTAGCTAAAGGTAACAAAACCCTGGCTAAAGGCAGCAGAAGGCTAGCTGAAAGTAGCAAAATCCTGGCTAAAGGTAGCATAAGGCTAGCTAAAGCCACAAAAGCCTGGCTAAAGGTAGCATAAGACTATCTAAAATTAACAAAAGCCTGGCTGAAGACACAGAAGGCTAGCTAAAAATAACAAAAGCCTGGCTAAAAGTAGCAGAAGGCTAGCTAAAAGTAACAAAAGCCTGGCTAAAGCTAACAGAAGGCTAGCTAAAAGTAACAAACATCTGGCTAAAGTTAGCAGAAGGCTAGCTGAAAGTACCAAAAGCCTGGCTAAAGGTAGCAGAAGGCTAGCTAAAGCCACAAAAGCCTGGCTAAATGTAGCAGAAGGCTAGCTAAAAGTCACAAAAGCCTGGCTAAAGGTAGCAGAAGGCTAGCTAAAGCCACAAAAGCCTGGCTAAAGTTAGCAGAAGGCTAGCTGAAAGTAACAAAAGCCTGGCTAAAAGTAGCAGAAGGCTAGTTAAAAGTAACAAAAACCTGGCTAAAGGCAGCAGAAGGCTAGCTAAAAGTCACAAAAACCTGGCTAAAGGTAGCATAAGGCTAGTTAAAAGTCACAAAAACCTGGCTAAAGGTAACAGAAGGCTAGCTAAAAGTCACAAAAACCTGGATAAAGGTAGCAGAAGGCTAGCTAAAGCCACAAAAGCCTGGCTAAAGGTAGCAGAAGGTTAGTTAAAAGTAACAAAAGCCTGGCTAAAGGTAGCAGAAGGCTAGCTGAAAGTAACAAAAGCCTGGCTAAAGGTAGCAGAAGGCTAACTAAAAGTAACAAAAGCCTGGCTAAAGGCAGCAGAAGGCTAACTAAAAGTAACAAAAGCCTGGCTAAAGGCAGCAGAAGGCTAACTAAAAGTAACAAAAGCCTGGCTAAAGGCAGCAGAAGGCTAACTAAAAGTAACAAAAGCCTGGCTAAAGGTAGCTAATGTCTGGTTAAAAGGTAAAAATATAAGTCTAGCTAAAACTAAAAGTAGCAAAAAGCAAATGAAAACAAATTACAGTAATTTAAACAGATGTATGAAGTTATTTTTGTTGTATTATCTGTCAGTGATGTTTATGTTTGTCACTCTGCTCATGTTCAACTCGTTGGTCCTCCAGGCTGCTGGGTTGTTTCTCCGACACCAAGAAGCTGGGCCCCACAGCCATGTTCCCCTCCAACGCTCAGCCTTTCCAGAGGCTGCTGGAGGACGAGGTTTCCTCCGGAGGCTGTGCAGGAGACAACGTCTGTCCCACACTCAGACACTGCAGCAAGCTCTTCATCTACCTGTACAAGATGGCCACCGACTCCTTCGACAGGTCAGTGAACCACAACGTTTTACACACAAGCTGCACAGTTATGTTTCTGGTTAAATTTAATGAGGCTTCTGGTTTAGGGTTACATCAGGTCGCTGCAGCAAGTTTTACTCTATTAAGAGAAAATAGCAGAAAACTGGACGATGATTTTCTCTCATTAAAGCTCTCACCTGCAGAGCTGCTCTGTCTCTTTAATGCATCTGTTCTCACACGGTTTAACGAGCTGCAAGCTTCCTGCGTCCATCATTACTGCTGAGCTTTCTGCACCCCGAGCCTGCAGCGAGGTCAGGGGCCAAAAAGCAGTCAGAATGATCCACAAAGCTGCTAAATCCATTAACAGCGAAGTTAATTGGTAACAGCGTAATTAAAGGAGCCTAACCAGGATCGTGTATCGATCCTGTTGCGCAGGAGAGAAATAAATAAACAGGGCTGCCGTAAAATATAGTTTTACTTTCTGTGTATTTCCTGGAGACAAATAATCCTTCCAATAAACAGTTTTTTTTGTCTGCTATATTTTATTTTTTTTCTAACAGATGTATGAACCATGAACTATTTGCTGCATTATTCTCAGCTGCAGTAAAAAGTAAAGTTAAATCAATTCTGCTGCTTAAACGATTAAACCAGATTAGTTGTGTTTTTGTGACTTTAAGCTGATGGAGCTGAGGAGGTTTTCCATCTCTTAAAATCAAGTGTTTTTCTTCTTCTTTCCTAAACATCCTCCTCGATCCCTTCAGTCATGAAAACGACTCTGACACGCTAAGATCACGTGCACGTGTGACCGGAGCCGTGCACGTGTCCCGGCTGGAGCTCCCATCCAGTTTCCCACTAACGGCTTCTTTCCTTCTTTCCTCTTTTCTTCTTCTAACATCTGGTGCTGCCTGGCTGATCAACCTCGGTCTGACCCGTCTGCACGTGTGTGTGTGTGTGTGTGTGTGTGTGTGTGTGTGTGTGTGTGTGTGTGTGT